CCTTGTATGAGTTTCCTGAAGGGGTTGTAACAAGTCACCATCTTTCTGGCTCTAAACAATATAACAATATTATGTTACAATTCTTTTTTTTTTTTGCTATAGGGCATGTGCACTCACCAGAGACAGAGAGATGAAGAGAGAGGGGAAAAGCACCCCCATGGAGAATGGTCATGCCACAATCCCTTCTCCTCCTCTTCCTCCTCTTTTCGGGATTTTGGGCATGATGAACACACGCCTGGTGTGTTTTTCAAGCTGCCAGGTCTAGGACTCAAACTACGAGGTTGGCCATGTGTAGGATCCAGCTGTCTTAACCACCAGTTCATGGGGTCAATCCTATTTTGTCATTATTAATGTGCAAGTTCTGACATGGGTCTCACTGGGCTAAAATCAGGGCTGCCTTGTGGAAGCCATAGAGAAGAATTTGTCTCACATCCTTTTCCCCACCTCGCCTCATTCCATTGCTATATCTCTTATCTGAATCCAATCCTCTTACGTCCCTGTCTTCCCTGTCGGAAGATTTTGTGATTACACAGGACCCTCCTATATAATACAAGATCATCTCCCTCAAGATCCTTAATTTAGTCGTATCTACCAGGTCCCTTTTACCATATAAAGTAACTTTCACGTGTTCCAGAGATTAAGACATGACATATTTAAGGGAAGGGACATTATTTAGCCTACCACCCCCTCCTTTCTTCTCCCAATTGTAACTCTACTAATCCAAGCTTGGGAGAAGAAGATAACAGGAAACAGTAAAAGAGATTTATAAATCAAGAAAGCAGGAAGGAATCTGAGACTCGGGGTCTCTGGTCTGGGATCTTATAAGCTGGAGGACCCTTCTGGTGCTTGCCTTTGAAGTGAACTTATTAGTGTGTTAACTATTTTTAAGAGGCTCTTCTGATTTTGTTGCCCAGAACAGAGAAACCAACCGCTGCTTGAGCTTAATCTAAGAGTGGCTGGTGAAAGGAATTTAAATACTTCTGAAATAACAAAGCAACAACAACAAACGAAGTGAGAAGAATTCAGACCAGAGACGCCTGCCAACAATGAAGATTTGTATACTTAGATTGGGTCCTCAAGCAACAGGGATTTCTGTGCAGATAGCTTATTGGGAAGTTGTGTGAAATGCTGGAAGGAAGGAGGACGGTGAGACAGAAGAAAAGCTGGAAGGTAAAAGGCATGTCAGCTGGCTACCACTGATGACTGGAGCTCAAGCCCTCATGGAAACACAGGGAAAATGTCTCTGGTCTATTTACCTGAGAGGTGAGGGAGCTGGGGTATGTTTACAGCTCTCCCTGTCATTACTGATTCAGGGGTGTTCTAGTGAATGCTCATTCCAAGCTTTGTGGTCAGCTCTGTGTGCAAACAGAGCTGCCTCCCCCAGCTAGAGGCAGAACAAGGCAAGATATGACTGTTGAAAGTTTAAAAGTTCAGTGAAGGGACAAGGCTGAGGGTACAGACAGGGGCTGCTATATCTACTCGGAAATCTTCAAATCTGGAGCTCCCATGTGTGCTGCATCTCTCCGGAACAGAATCCTGGCTGGGAAGTTACAAGTAGGCACCCAAGACAATCAGGTCTCACAACAGGCAGCAGGAGATTTGTGCACGGGCTGCACCACTGTGGCTTGGCCAACCGTAGTCGTGCATGCAGTAATAATCCCCAGAGTCCCCAGGCTCTGCAGCACTGATGCTGAAAACGTAGCTGGTGTCCCCCTTCCACTGCTTCTGAACCGGGCTGGGACACCTGGGGCCAAGGTAGTGACATGAGATATAAGGGGTTCACATCTCTGCCCCATTTTTATCCGTATCCAAGACATTTCTCTGTGTACATCAGCACTGGCTTCACAGGAAATGGAGACTCTCTCTCCTGGAGACACAGACAGGACTGTTGGTGTCTGGGTCAGGATGATGTCTCCACTCACTGCTGAGAAGTGAAAGAGAAAGGTGTGATTTTTGATTCACGGCAGGGTCTTCCCCTAAAAGCAACCACCCTCACTTAGCAGAGAGGGATTACTACACTGGCCTTTCCCCAGGGCCTTTTCTTTCACCTGCTCTCCAGAAAGCCAGGCCCCAGAGGAGCTGCACTTGAGCCCCCAGGAACATGCTGGAAGAAAGTGTTCAGAACCTGGGTAGTGCATGAGACATCAGTCTTTTATAGAGATCTGAGGTGGGGTGGGAGGGTGCAAGAGGCAGGGCTATGCAAACAGAGGCACCAAGGAAAAGGTTCACTAGTTTTATGAGATTATGTTTTTTGTTTTTGGTTTGTTTTTTTTTTTCCCCTTTACCTGAGACAGTGGCCAGTGTCCTTGTGAAGAAATGAGCAGCATTATTAGGTTGTCAGGAAAGTCATGATGTATTTTTCTGTTTTTCTATTCAAAAAATGCATCTCGACTTTCCTGATAACCAATAGAAGAAAAGTTTTCTATCTTGAGTCGATGATTAGAAGATGATGCCTCTCCTTGGAGATAAACGTAAAACCCAGATATCTTGTGATACTTACCTTCACAGACAAATAATTTCAATAACTGTAGAGTTAGGAAGTGGGAAAACAATGACATCTAGAGGGGTGTTGGCACAATTGGTGTAAACCTCTTCACTAATTCTAGTACTGATCTGTTACTATTTTCCTATTAATCACCAAACCTTCTGCCTTCTGAACAGAGACGCGAGTGTCTCACTTTCCAGGGCTCCCTTTTACTTCATCCAGAGTGGTCCGCCCAACTTCCACTGGGGACGTGACAGCCACTGCTTCTTGGGGACATATGGTGCCATCACTGAAGATGAATCCTAACTTGCATGACAGACCAGGCTGGCTTTCGAACAGAGTCCAGCTCAGGTGTCTGTAGCTCTTCGATAAGCTCCCTGCCCTCAGGCTGCTGAGACCATTGCTATAGGCCTGAGCTCCAGCTCTCCTTCCCACACCCCCAGCCTTTTCAGGACTTAGCCTGATCCCCTCCGTGCTGAGGATGCAGAGCTTCTGCCCTGCAGTCTTCCCCGGTTCCCAGCACTGCCTAGAACCTCCAAGTGTTGCCTTCGGCATACCCCTGATTGGGTCAGTTAGACCTTCCCTTCAGAAATGACTGAGAATGGCGTGCGCTCGCCAGACAGACAGACAGAGACATAGAGACAGAAAGCGAGAAATCACCCCCCAGGGGGGATGGTCACGCCGCAATCCCTTCTCCTCCATTCTCCTCTCGGGATCTTGGGCACGCACGCACACACGCCCAGCGTGAGTTTTTTAAGCCACCAGGTCCAGGACACGAACTGCGGTCGACTACGTGGGAGTCCAGCGACATAGCCA